GTGTGTGTGTGTGTGTGTGTGTGTGTGTGTGTGTGTGTGTGTGTGTGTGTGTGTACACATGCATGCAAGCATATTGAGATTATCTAGCCAAAATCAAATAAACATGTAGGGAGCATGCACCACTCAGTGCTCTTGCACGGTCTGAGTAGGTCTTCCCTTACTAAAGGTCCCTGTAACTAAAAAGAAATAGACAACTTTGTGAGGAGTACATAAAAAAAATATTAAAAACTGGCTGCAGAAATCAAGATCATTAAGCCTGAAAAACAGAGGCCAGAAATGAGATATGGAATGACTTCTAAGCTATGCCAACCATGGTTCCTACTCTCTACTCTATCTTTGCAGAACGCTACTTAACTTTCCTCATGATGATACAAGTGAAATATAGACAAGGGCTTTCTGGGTATGAATATTTTGAGATGCTGGGACTAGGCGATCACAGGAGATTTCCTGGGATATCTCAAGAAATGAAAAAAGTGCTCCATCTATCACAGCTGGCCTCCAGACCTAGGCCCAAAACAACCGGTTGCATCAGAGCTGTCTCAGATGCTCCTTCCAGCCCTAATAATTTTTCAGGGAAGAAATGCAATTTTCTAAACATCATCTTCCTACTAAAAAAGGTGATTTGATTTCTACGTCAGCCTTCTTTCCCCCTAAGGAAACAGCAAAGCCCTCAAAATCCTCACATTCTTGAGGAACTCCTCTGCCACAATACGAGCTCGAGCATTGACTGACAGCTTCATTTCACTGATCTCCTTATCAATCTCCTCCATGAAGTGGATCACAAAGTCCACCAGTTTGTGTTTGTACATTTGCTCTGTGTGGAAGTTTGTAATCAGGAAACTGATATCATAACCCTGAGAAACAGAAAAAGAAACAGAAAAAAATTAGTTTAGTTGTTGGGGGTGGGGAAGGAGAGTAGGAGCCCTTGCAGACCACATATTCTCTCTCTTAATCCATATTCTCTCCTTCAATCCCCACCTTTTCAAAAAATTCTTTAAAATTTTTTTCAATCAATGAAAGCCTGCCTTTTCCCCCCTAACCCCCCCAAACTGAGAAAGCATGAAAAAGAAAAACCCTTCTAAGCAAAACATAGAGTCAAGCAAAATTAATTCCTTCATTGGCCAGGTCCAAAAAAAATACATCTCAATCATCATTCTAGGCCCATTATTTCTCTATCCAGAGGATAGCTTCTCACAAGTTATATTTATCTTTCACCTGCCAAGATATCGACTCTTTTGGGACTGTGAGGGGACTGAACCTGAGGCTGCATAAAGCTTCTCTACATTTTTGGTGTGTGTATCTACAGAATATTTGGGTACAAGTTGTGATGTGGAGGAAAGAAAGGAATGCATTCTCAAACTGATTATGATATAAGGGCCATCCTAAAGAATCATCTCTTTTCTCTAGTGTTGATCTTACAAGGGTTATTCTGTCTAGAAAGTTTCGAAAGCATTTTGTTTCTTAAATCCTATTTTTGAAGCAACTGTTGCTCCATCTACCAAAGAATCACAGGGCTTTACAAATGCAAACATCTTTAGAGGTCATCGAACCCATTCAAATTTTACAGACAAGAAAACTGTAACACAGTATGTATATTGGGAAGAGTTTTAGATGTGCAGTCAGAGGAGCTGCACAACCCTGAGCCAATCACTGAAATTTACAAGGTCCCAGTTTTCTCATGTGTACATGATGGGGGTAAAAATAAATGATTTCCGGTTTTAAATCCTAAGCTCCTATGAAGCCCAGAGAGACAAAGAGATCTGAAGATGCAAAACCTCCTTAGTGGCAGTGCTGCAGTGGCTAGACAGAACTCTAGACCAAAGTGAGAATGCCAGGAGGTTCAGGTCTCAGATCAGCTTCTCACTAGCCAGCTGAGTGCCT